CTTCTGCTCAATATGTACGCACAACAAATGGATGACACTTTAACCAGGAGGTGAGGCTATAAGCTATGAAGGTTTTTTAGAAACAAACTGTTGGTAATACATGTGCTGAGTTTTGTATTATCTTTTAAATTTGCTTGCTTAACTCGTTTTATTTTTTGTTTTGTTTTTTACATGTGAAGGATTTTTATTGTTCTGCTGCACTTCTTTTCAGTGTTGCTATCTTCCCAGAGCTCTGAAATGGCAAACATATGGGCTTAATTTGGGCTACTTTTGACATAACTCAGGTGGTTATTGGAATAACTTATCAAGTTATATTTTTTTGATCCAAACACTGCCTGAAAGCTCAAATTGACCTGAGTTGCTGGTAGTATTGTATGGGCCTGATGATACCTGGCATCTAACATCTGACCTTAAATTTTTTAAGCAACAGGAGAGTAGCAACATTTACCAGATTTCCCAGAGTCAATGATGTCAGTCGAGGACAATTATGGCCATAGAAAACTGTAGATGTGGGTCTCAGCAGGATCAAACGTTTATTGTTATCTGGGATTTGACTTTTGAATTTTTAGCAAAAAACAGCCGAACTCCGCTCCACCTGCTGGTTCTGTTCTTTGAAAGTATGGTAGAAAAATATTGGCCACTCTGAAAATAAACCCCAAACAAAAACAAAAAGAAAACAAGAAAATAAAATTAACATGAAAAACTGCTTTTTAGTTTCTTTGTAGCTTTTAATTGTTTTCACATGATAAAGTTTATTATCACATCTATTCATGCTTGGACTTCTTTGTCTTCAACAAAAATGTAATTAGACATTAACAAGAAGCCCAAACGAAGGTAATGATCAGCAAACCAAATACTACAAGGACTGCCATCACATCTAGGCAATGATAGGCATACCAAGGCAGCTTATATGACTCACTGCGTAGATGTGCTGCACCCTTGTGCCTCATGACATACTCTATCCGGAAAAGTCAACATCCAATTTTGTCACGTCAACTATTTCAGCCACTCCCCGGGCCTTCATATGTAACAAGTTGTCCTGCTGGTCAAAAATGAGAGGAATGCCCAGAACTGGCAAGCCATGGTAGATGGCTTCGTACAGGCCATTGGTGCCTCCATGTGTGACAAAAACCTTGGTTTTAGGGTGGCCTAGTAGATCATTCTGAGGCAGCCATTCAACCAGCATGGTGTTGTTTCCCAGAGTGGCTGGTCTTTTCCCAACATGTCTCCACACAACCTTCTGAGGGAGGCTGGCAAATGTTGAGGCAAATCTCTTTGTTAACTCAGGTCCAAGGTCACTCAGCAGGGTGCCCAATGTCACGACTATCACATGTTTACCAGAACTCTGGACGAATTCCTCAAACTCTGATGGGAGAGGCTTTGAAGGCTTACCTTGAAAGCCTCCGATGTAAACGACGTTGGGCATGGTGGGACGAGGGAACTCAAATGTAAAGTCGACACGCATGAGTCAGAGGTCAGCCTTTTGGACTAGAGACATAAGCTTTACACCTTTTCCAAATAATGATCGCATAGAGGTTGGTAACATGGACTGGCAGCATAGTAGTGAATGTAAGCCATTATGTTGTGATAAAATATATTTCTGATTCTTTGGAAAAAGTCCATTTTGTCAGAGTTACAGGAGAACAATACAGGAACATAGGACAATGGAGTAGGAGCAATAGCATAGTGCGCCTCTCCACTGAAAAACCAGCGTACATTGTAAACCAAGGGAACTCGAAGATAATTTGCGAGTAGCAGTACACCTGGAAATGCAAGATGAGTAAGAAAAAGATCATATCCAGTTTCATTCAGCTCTTTAATCAATGTCTTATTCTCAAAAATCCTGCGAACAAGCTTTGTCACAGTTTGATGGCTTTCATGTACCATTTTAAAAAGGCTGTAAAACTCAACGAATGTCCATAGTGAACTTTTGCGCCGGATCTCAAGGAAGTCAGAGCTGCTGAAAACAGTACAAAAAATGCCAAGGCTGGACATGACCCCATTTCTGCAGAAGAGACACATTATTGAATTAAATAGATTAAGGTTCAATGAGTTCTTGACCTTCAGACGAACAATTCTCCTGTTGTTGAAAATGGTTATACTTTAAGCAAACAATTACTCAACTACTTTTCAACAAAACTGGAATATTTATATCGATTTTAATAATTCAATCCAAAATTTACATGGGATACCGTGAGGTGTTTACATGCTTGTGAGTGCTCAGCCCACAGGAAATACCCTAGGTTTTGGGTGCAGTCTGTACATGAGAGGCCAGAGTGGGAACCCTATACTACTAGTAGTAGTAGTATAGTGTTAGTGTAATCTCAGATACAGAGCACCTACAGGTTTCGTCCTTGTTGTGGAACACTGAACCAGGTCTTTATGCTCTTAAGGATATTCAAGGGTGTCCCGAATTTTCTCCAACCAGTCTACATGTGTTTTGTGGAATCGGACAAGGGTTTTTAACCAGACCCCTCATAATGCAACACTGGTGGTGCTTCCAGAGCAACCAAATGGCCTGTTGCCGCAAGCCATTTGGTTCCTGTACTACCACTGCAGGGGTTTGGTCCACGTTGCGGGCTGGATGGATTGATGGATGGGTGGGTGAGTGGATGGATGGACGAGTGGAATGACGGAACAAAGTTAGTTATAATTTGTACGTCTATTTGGTATTTGTTGAGCAGTATGTATGTGCATGATTTTGTTTAAGCCTGTTATGTCCATTTGTTTACATTATTTTAGAATATGGAACATGTTTTTGTATTTTAAATTGACTTTTTGTGTTTTGTGTATTAAGATTTGACATATTTATGCCTTTTCTTTTCTAAATCTGATCATTTGGCTTATTGGTATTTTCCAATGTTTACCCAGATGCAGGACTCAGGGTATGAATAAAAAATGAAAAAAGAAAACTTGGATGCTGCTAGCATAATGGACAGGTTTTTGACGGAGCTGCTACACAAAGCAGAAGATGAAGCATCGCCAGTTTCCAAACTAACTTTCTTCCAAGCCAAAGATTAGAAAATATGATGAGGCATATCTTGGCTTTGGCTTCACCTACACAAGTACCAAGGTAGGTCTCCCCAGCAGAATTTGTTTACCCTGCGTCGGGAGCACGTGCTGGGCTCTCCAAATCACGTACCAACAGTATCCCACATTCTTGATTTTTAGTTCACTGTCAGGGACCAAGCAGTAAAGCATAAAGGACACAGGTGGTTTTAATTCAAAAAAGGGGTTTTATTGACCCAAAAATATGAAAACATATTTAACAAAGCCAAAACTTAAACAGGCAGACCAATAAAAGAGGTCAACTCAATAGACTAAACTCAAGATAATAATTAACAAAACCTCAAACAAACATATGATAAACTGACCTGCTGAAATGACACAGGGGAACTTAAATACTGGTTTAGCTAAACCAAATGACACACACGGGGGAAAACAAGATGGCTGCCATATAACCAACTAATACAAAACAATTAAACAAACATGAAACACCCCCCAGGCAATGAAGCATGTGGTGCAATCCAATTAGGCTGTCAGTGGTACTTCAGGTCTCCCAGCCCTTTGCCACACCTTTTGCCAGACAGGAGGAGAAGCCAACCCCCAGGTAACTCAAACAAAGAAAGATGTATTAATATAACATAAAACAGAACTTTGACCTTGCAAGGTTAATATGTGTGCACGCCATATAAACATTGGAAGGTGTGATGGAAAAATGAATACATTTAATAAAGAAACGATATTGAACAATAAATAGAATATTTTAAAGTAGTGACTGTAAATTAAACTAAAGTGAATCAACGGGTGGTGAGGTGTGGAGCTTACCATGTGTGGCATGCCATCACATTCACAAACACTTCTTATAATGACTAACTACTCCCGAAATTTTGGAGATGTTGCCTCTTTACAGATAATATAATTACACCATGACGCCTCTGACTTTATATAGTGGGGCGATCGTGGCTCAAGAGTTGGGAGTTCGCCTTGTAATCGGAAGGTTGCCGGTTCGAGCCCCGGCTCGGACAGTCTCGGTCGTTGTGTCCTTGGGCAAGACACTTCACCCGTTGCCTACTGGTGGTGGTCAGAGGGCCCGGTGGCGCCAGTGTCCGGCAGCCTCGCCTCTGTCAGTGCGCCCCAGGGTGGCTGTGGCTACAATGTAGCTGCCATCACCAGTGTGTGAATGGGTGGATGACTGGATATGTAAAGCGCCTTAGGGACTAGTAAAGCTAAATACAGGCCATTTACCATAATTGTAACTGCTCCTGAAGGTTTTTCATGTTCGAAGTAGAATAAAGGGCCATGCTCCAACTGATGTTTAGCCAGTATTTTAATCTTCTTTTCACCAGCAAACACCGTGAAAAACTATGGTGAAATGATCACTGTGAAAAACACAGAATCAAATTTACCATCACTAGTGTGCGCTTTCTACTGAACATTCATGAGCAATTGTAGTGCATCACAAACTATCAGTTCATATTAACATATTTTGATCACAGCTGCATTTTTCCACAACTGCACACTTCATTATGCTCAACTACATCTAGGATACAGCCGATACGCTATTGATCGACATGTGGTTTAGTGTTAAACTGAGATAAAGTGCAGCTCAAGTGATAAGGGAGTCATAACAGGACAGTTTCTTCACATATGAGTTGGCTTTATGAATTAAAATAATTTTTTGTGGTTAGGAGTCATCTGCAAAACATTTTATTTGTTTTCGGCATATTTAGAGAATATGTTTTTCAGTATTTATTTTCACCAGAGGCAAAACAATTAAATATTTACTTGCAAAATTTGCATTTAATAGTCTAAAACCTGCCAGCAAATAAGATCAGCTCAACATTAAAGTAAAGTTTTTTCTTTACTGACGTACCTATACATCGTTTCCTAGAATGAGGCCAGGGCACATCCTGCCCATCTGTTAAATGAATGTTTCAGTTTACACTGCTGACCACATAGTCTCACTTCTCAGTAATAAATCGGGCACATGTTTTTTGTTTGCAGTGCATACATGTTGCCATTTTTTCATGTGCTGCACACAAACAATCTGATGATGTGAAGACTCCAGCCACACCTAAAGTAACAGGGAACAACTTTATTAAGTAACCAACGCGTTTTGGCTTGTGGCCTTGATCAAGGCCATTTGTTGCTGCACACAAACAAGCAGAAAGCTCTGCATGTTTTCATGCTGCAGGCAGCAATGAAGCAATTTCCCTTTTTAAAGTGTTAAAGCCTGCATGCTTAGCTGATAAAAGTAAGAAATGGGGAAGTTAAAAGAGCCCGTTATTTGATGGAAACATCGCTCTTCTATACCTTTCTGGGTTGTAATTTCAAAAGTTCAAACACTTTCATGCTTTTCAACACTTTTTTTTATGTCTTGCCAGAGCAAATATGCAATAGAGTACCATGTTCATGGTTAACCAAACTAGTAATTAGGGATTAAGCAAAACTGCCTGTTAGAGTTCTTCTTAAAACTGTGCTGTGCATTATTATTACAAGTGGAACTAACTATTGGTCTGTGGGTTTGTCACACCCAAACACCCACAAAAGTACAATAAATGTATCTATATCAGCAGTCGCTACATCATCTGTAATGACAGCAAGCATTGTGAGGAGGATTACTAATCACACAAATGTAAATGTAAAGAAAGGGATTAAAATTTTCATGATGCCACGCTTGCTTTGAAGTGTTAAAATCAAACGGACAGAAACCCCGCAGAGCATTACGTTCCCCCACCCTGACAGTAACAATCATTTCATTACTCCAACACAACAGGGCATAACAAGTGCAGGTTTATCTAAATTATCCATTTATTTTGAACATGTTTAACATGTTCTAAACACAGATATGTGACCACTAATTCCAACACATAATGAAAAGAATGCAGTGTTTAAAGAATGAAAAACAATGTAATGTACAATGCAGTCAGTTTTTGAAGGTGTCAGTGTCACAGTTGTGCAATGACTGCTGCTTTTCTGTGGCTTGTACCGCACGCACTCAGCAACAGCTATAAAAAACATTTGATAAAAGCACAGAAGCGGCCTGTGATCAGCAATTAAAAATACAGTAAATATGAAACCAATTTTAGTAGTATGCCAGTGTTCTCTCCTGATCTATTCTTAAAGTAAAAGTTCTCAGTGTAAGGTGTTTAAATAATACAAATTTCAAAGACTAAATTACATTTACTTTAGAAAAATAATATCATTAGCAACTGGTTGTTGATACTGACTCCGTCAAAATGAGTGAGGCTTATTCAGAGCAATTACAATCATGCATACAAAATAAAGACAATGTGTTTTAAACCAAAAGAGAAAATGTGTTCCACTGGCTTTCAGTTATTCACAATATACAAGACAACAGAACAAAAAGAGATAAAAGTATTTATATATATTTATATAGTAACTTGTGCCCAAACTGTTGTTGCAGGAAAAGAGAACAATAATTAACTGGATGAAGCACAGTATAATAAACAAACTCATGTGAATCATTCGTGTTAAACTCCTGTTAAACATCTGCATTTTGTGCCACTGGTACACTGCTGAACTCTGACACAAAGATCTGACGAAAATGCTGAAGCATCTGTCTGATTTGAGCAGGAATATCCATGACATGGAGGTAAACCAGGGGGTTCAAAACACTATTCAGACACACAAGACCACGACTGATCTGATGAGCACAGAAGACTGTCTTATCCCATGATGGATACTTCTTGTTGGTTGAATAAAGTACTCTTGAATAAAGGCTGAGGTTCTTAAAAATATGATAGGGGATGTAACAGACCGAGAAGAGCAAAATCAAAATGAACATCAACTTTAAGCTTCTTTGTTTCACCACCTTATCAATGGTATTAATGCGGCAGAGAACAAGAGTCACATGTCCATAGCAGCCAAGTAAGATAAGGAGTGGGATAACAAACCCAGTGAATGTCCAGCCCACACTGTATTTCAGGTAATCCTCCACATACTCTTTAGAGGTGGTATGGTAGCATTTTTCAGTTCTATTTGGTTCGTTTTTGGGGAAGAACATATCTGGAAAACTTTGAACACTCACCAACAGCCAAACCATGACTGAGATAGCCACAGAGTGAGTCACAGTTATTCTTCCCATCACTTTCATTGGATGGACAATAGCCAGGTACCTGTACACACTTATACAGGTGAGGAATCCAATGCTGCCGTATAAATTCAAGTTGAAGCAGAATCTTGTGATCTTGCAGAAGGCATTTCCAAATATCCATTTACTCTTCATAAAGTAGTACGCTGACAAAAATGGGAGTGTTGGCAGGAACAAAAAATTGGCAATTCCAAGGTTCAGAAGAAACACATTAATGTGTCCAAGAATTTTCCATTTCTGAAGCACAGACTTTAGTCCCCATACATTAGCTCCAAGACCAATGATGAACACAGAGGTGTAAATAGCAGGCAGAGTTCTATACTCATAGACTGAACGAAACCACTGAGTTGTATTCATTCTGTTTCCTAAAAACCCAATACATTAAAACTCTTCAGTGGCAGAGGTGGTTTTTGAGGGGGCAGAGAAGGTATGACCTATTTGTTGAAAGAAAACTTCCTGTTTGACACATTTCAGTCATCTCAAAATCCTATTTGACATCTCAGAGTAACGCCTCATGCACAGATTCACACATGCGTATAATCTCTATGTAGGCTGTTTCCTTGTTTGTGCATAAAAAAGGAAGTGCCAAAAACAAAAATGATATACCCTTTTGGTTAAAATTCAAGAAAAGGGGATTTCTAAAAATAGGTGCTCTGCTAAAAATGTTGTTTGAAATTCTTTATGGTGTAAACCCACAGTCTATATCCACATGTTATTTTGTAAAAGGTTAGCAGTCAGTATTAATGTATATAACTCTAACAGGAAGAGAGACAAGTGAGTGAATTTAGCAGACAAAGGGCAGGTGCAGGTTAGCTGTACTGAATGTGTGGGTGGGCAGTTTTATGGCTGAAAAGAAAGGTAAAAATTTCCCTTCAGTTACGGTTTTGAATGTGAAAGTGGAAATCTTAGTCTGTGTCATGATCCTTGGTTCACACACAGTGATGACTCAAAAGCAGACTCAATACAAAATTCACAGGAATTATATACAAATGTATTTCTTTAACAAAAATGAACAGGAACAACAAAGGGAATAATAATATAACTCAAGCCGAGGAAACCAGAAACTGAAATGCCCTGGGAAGCTGTGATCAGGACCGTGGCAAGCTGCAACAGAAAGGGGAATAATTACCTGAGTGCAGGAAAGTGGTGAGTTAACAAACTAAACATGAGTTAGAATATTGGTTACAATCAGAGTCAGACCGTGGGGCTCGGAGGGGAAGGTGTCCATGTGAGAAAGTCTGAGGAGGGAGAAATGGAGGCTCAGGGAGTTCCCTTGCACGCAAAACAGGCAGGAGGACTGGCAGGAGAGGTCTTCAAATGCTGGACTTGACAAAGGGTTGTGGTGACCGGTTTAACTTGCGAGACATGGAACGTTGGATGTACGAGCAGCAGAATGTTCTTAGCATCTAACTAGACCTTCTGCCCAGGCCGATATTCAGGGGCTGGGCTGCAGCAGAGGTTCGCATAGTGTGCGTGTCGCTTCTTGGTCTTCTTGGTCATTCAAAAAAATCCCGAAGCACATCATTGACCAAGGTTTTGGAAAACCGCAGGGGAGTTAGTTAAGCCAAACAGCAGGACCATATACTTAAAGTGCCTCAGTGGAGTTTTATAGGCGGTCTTCCACTCATCCCCCTCATGTATCTGAACAAGGTGATAGGTGTTCCGTAGATACAACTTAGTAAGAGTGGTAGGCACATGAAGAGACTCAAAAACAGAATTGATTAGGCAGTGGGTATTTGTTCTTTATGGTAATCAATACAAGGTTGCATGCAGCGACTTTTTCCCCACAAAGAAGAGACCTGCAGCGGCCCAATCAATGTGATGATTATGTTTCTGTAACCACAGATAACCAAGAATAAGTGGGGTGTCAGGAGAGGGAAGAGTGAAGAAGGGAATTAATTCATTATGGTTTACGGAGGTGATTAATTTTTACTGGTGCAGTCTGATGAGGAATGGAAGAGGTTCTAACGGCGTGAGTGTTATGTGAAGGCTGTGTGCAGGCAGGAAAAGGACCCAAAGTGCAGACTCAGGACAGGCAAAAGTGCACTCCAAAACTGAGCTTTTATTGCTGGATGACAAAACGTAACAAAAACCCAAAAATGCAAAATAAACTTACACACGCAGGCAGACAGAACACACAGCATGAATGAGGGTGGATAAGGGTAGATCATGACATGGACACAGAGAAACACAGGGCTTAAATCCACAGAGGGTGCAATCAGGGAATGGGAAACACCGCTGGTATCAACTCAGGCCTAACGAGACAAAGGAAGCACAACCAGACACATTAACATGAGACACGGACTTTCAAAGTAAAACAGGAAACATAACACAGACTGAACTTACAGACACAGACTCACAGGCAGGCACTGCAACAGAGGGAACAGAGACGTAAACCATAAGACAGAACTCTAACAAAGAAACCAAAGACTAGAAATGATAAATAATATAATAAACTCAAAACTCAACGACCCAGGTATCCTAACAGTGAGTGGCAATTTTAACTCTCTTGCTAGCTTAACGTCCATTAAATTTTGCTCCACTCCGGAGTCCATTGAAGGTCTTATTGGTGGTCACTATGGCAACAGTTAATATCAATCGGGGTCTCACTGAACTTATAGCACTCCCCACCTGTATTCCTGGGCCTACCAGTGGGCTGGTTCGTTTAGGCAAACCGGGCAGCCCGCGATGCAGTGTCCTGGCTTCCCGCAGTACGAGCAGTCCACAGCCCGAAAACGGTGTTCCCTTTCCTCTGGCAAGGGAACACCGTTCACCGACCACCTACCGATGGGTTCTGGAGTAGGGGGGGATGCCAAGCGGGCGCCCCTAGCTGCGGGCACAGATGGGAGCATAGGCGGTGCAGTGCGGAACTCGGGACGCAACACAGGTCTTTGAAGCCTGGACCATTGTTCAGCTTCCCTCTCTCACGGACGATTATCAATTCTGCGGGAGAGGGAAACCAATTCCTCAACGGGGCTGCCACGATTAGGTGGATCACAATTACGTTGACTATCAAAATCGTCGACAACAAATTTAATAGTCAACGCGTCGTTTGATGCTTTGTAAGATCCTGAAAGACACAGGAATAAGTAGTAGAGTGTAATAACGGACTGAAACAGAAGATGGCAGCAATGTATCTACAAGGATGCCAGCTGCCATTAAACGCCAAAAAAGAAGAAGAAGAAGAAGCAGCTTTTGGTGTATCATAGCTGTGTCCAAATCAGGGGCCACATCCTTCACTGCTTCACTGGGTGAATGGGTTAAATGCAGAGGAACTATTTCCCTATGGGGACTAACACGGGGACTAACATGGGGACTAACACACACACTTTACACTTTACACTTCGGGGGCGCATTTGTAGACCGATTATGTGACCGCGACGTGACAAAGGCTGTCCAAATTCGAAGACTCCTCTAAATGCGGCCGACAAATGTGTCATCCTTTTCCCCAGATTTGAAGAATGGGCCGGGTGTATTCCTCACGGCTCAACCTATCCCAGAATTCATAGCACGGCCCAGCCAATTCCAGTTTCCAACAATGGCGGCGGCTACTTAGTTTTAATGCAACATGCCACATTCACTTTCTTCTATGCTTTTTCAGTGCTTTCTTAAGCTAACATTCACACTCCAATGGATACATTAGAGATCATCTTGGGGTTAGTATCTTGCCCAGGATACTTTGGATGCAGACTGGGCTGAACCACTAACCTTTCGATCAGTAGATGACCTGTTCTACCTCCTGAGCTACAGCCACCAGCAAGTAAGTGTAAAGAAGTGTTGCACAAGCAAGCATCCATTTGATTACTTCTGCAACATGCCTTTTCTGTTTACGTTATAATGTGACCATTAGGAACTATTATTAGAAGGTACAGTATACATTTTCATTTCTATGCATATATGATTCCAAGGTTTATGTATCCATAAAGTGGTGGTTTCTAGGGTATATAAAAGTAGATTTAGAGGCAAAGCCTTCAGTTTTCAGGCCCCTCATCTGTAGAACGGCTCCCAGTTTAGATTTGGGAGACAGACACCATCTCTGCCTTTAAAATTAGGCTTAAAATTTTCCTTGTTGCCAAAGCATAGTTTGGGCTGGATTAGATGACCCTGAATCCTCCCTTAGTTATGCTGCATGATTCTACTTGAGGTTTCTTCTTTTTGACAAATGCATGCATGTAGTGCATCGTCTGATTGCTAGAGTTTTGTCTGTATTGATGTAGAGTGTTTACCTTACAATATAAAGCACTTTGGGGGTGACCGTTTCTATGACTTGGCACTATGAAAATAAAACTGATTAAACTGCTTGTTCACAAGAAGTGTTTTATTCTATGACTTGAAAAGTACTAAGAAAATATAAAATATATCACGGTGGATATGTTTTGCTTTCAAATTAATTAACCAGCAGCACTTTATAATTTGATCTACTGTACAGCTAAGGCTGTAATTCTTCCAAAATTAAATTGCAAATGCAATTAAATTGAAATTTCTGTGAAATCAGGGCATAAAATTGCAATTAAATGTCCTTTTATGAAATTAGTCAAATGCTAGTCATATGCCATAATAAAAAGTGCTGCTAAACATTATGTTTTAAAATCTTCATACAGCAAACCAACAGTGAATGTCCTATGGTCTGGTTTAGCAGTTTAATTAGCAGTTAGTATTACACGCAGGTCTCTATGAGAGAATAATTCAGCATAAAAAGTGTAGACGAATAGTAATATATATAAGGTTCAAGTGTGTTTACAGGGTGACACCAGAGCAAGGACAGTACAGGTATGAGCCTCCCTCTGGTGGTAATTTAAAATATGAACACATAGTGTTTTTGAAGCATCTGTGAACTCCTTAATATTGTTTTTATTTTTTATAAATATAGAATTATACAATCATATTTTAACATCTTTTAAACAAAAGAGAACTGAAATAATCAGAATTATATTTTTGTATTGTTCTTAAAGCACTTCTTTAACCACTTTTTTAATCACATGACTATATGCTGCCACACAAAGTCCAGCTGAAGCAGGATCTGGTTATCTAACTGAAGGCATCTAATATCACTCCCATTCAAATACAGACACAATGGAGACTGCTTTATAAGATTCAGAGTCTTCATTATTCACAACCACAATTTGTTGTGAACAGATGCCGGTACAGGAGAGGAGAACAGCAGAGGGGAGTTAATCCAACAGTTCCAGATGTTTCTCTTCTGGTGACCAAAAATGTGTTGAGAAACTTTTACCGTATTTTCACGACCATAAGGCGCACTTAAAAGTCTTAGAT